ACCAATTTGTAATCCTATCAATAGTGCACTAGGATTCCTTTTCCTCCACATCTTCACCAACACTTCTTGTTTGTTGACTTATTGATGATAGTCATTCTGACAGATGTGAGGTGGTATCTCAGTGGTTTTTATTTCATTTTTTTGGTAATTAATGATGTTGAACAACTTTTCATATGTCTATTGGCCAACTGCATATCCTCTTTGGAGAAGTATCTATTCAGGTCTTCTGCCCACCTTTTAATTGGGTTGTTTGATTTTTCTGGTGTTGAGTTGTCTGAGTTTTTTATGAACATTGGATATTAACCCCTTTTCAGATGTATCATGGGCAAATATCTTCTTCTCCATTTAATAGGCTGTCTTTTTGTTTTGTTGATGGTTTCCCTTGGTGCGCAAAAACTTTTTAGTTTGATGTAAGCACATTTGTTTATTTTTTGTTGTTGTTTCCCTTGCCCGAGGAGATATTTGAGAAAAAAAAAAAAAAAACATTGCTAAGAGAAGTGTCTGAGATTTTACTGCCTATGTTTTCTTTTTTTCTTTTTTCTTTTTTTATTTTTTTAATTAAATCTTTATTGTTCAGATTATTACATTTGTTCCTCTTCCCCCCCCCCCCCATAATTCCCCTCCTCCCAGTTCCCGCCCCACCCTCCGCCCTCACTCCCCACCCACTGTCCTCATCCATAGGTGCACGATTTTTGTCCAGTCTCTTCCCGCATCTCCCACACCCCTTTCCCCCCCAAGAATAGTCAGTCCATTCCCTTTCTATGTCCCTGATTCTATTATAATCACCAGTTCATTCTGTTCATCAGATTATTTATTCACTTGATTCTTAGATTCACTTGTTGATAGACGCAAATTTGTTGTTCATAATTTGTATCTTTACCTTTTTCTTCCTCTTCCTCTTCTTAAAGGGTACCTTTCAGCATTTCATATAATCCTGGTTTGGTGGTGATGAACTCCTTTAGCTTTTCCTTATCTGTGAAGCTCTTTATCTGACCTTCAATTCTGAATGATAGCTTTGCTGGATAAAGTAATCTTGGTTGTAGGTTCTTGGTATTCATCACTTTGAATATTTCTTGCCACTCCCTTCTGGCCTGCAAAGTTTCTGTTGAGAAATCAGCTGACAGTCGTATGGGTATTCCCTTGTAGGTAACTGAGTTTCTTTCTCTTGCTGTTTTTAAGATTCTCTCTTTATCTTTTGCTCTTGGCATTTTAATTATGATGTGTCTTGGTGTGGTCCTCTTTGGATTCCTTTTGTTTGGGGTTCTCCGCGCTTCTTGGACCTGTAAGTCCATTTCTTTCACCAGGTGGGGGAAGTTTTCTGTCATTATTTCTTCAAATAGGTTTTCAATATCTTGCTCTCTCTCACCTTCTGGCACCCCTATAATTCTGATGTTGGTACGCTTGAAGCTGTCCCAGAGGCTCCTTACACTATCCTCGCATTTTTGGATTCTTTTTTCATTTTGCTTTTCCGGTTGGGTGTTTTTTGCTTCCTCGCATTTCAAATCATTGACTTGATTCTTGCGCTCCTCTGGTCTGCTGTCGGGAGTCTGTATAATATTCATGATTTCAGTCCGTGTATGCTTAATTTCTAGTTGGTTCCCCAATATAACATCGAGGGTCTCATTAGTTTTCTTATAGATCTCATTAAGTTTATCGGCGGCTTCTAAACAGTTCTTGAGAGGCCTTAAAAGTGTGGTTCTGAACTCTATATCTTCCATTGACAATTTTGTCCTGTTTCTTTGTCTCCGCATTTTGTTATGCTTCCTTGGTGCACCCCCTAGTGGTCTTTGTGCGCAGTCTTATAGTTAAACCTTGATTGTTGTAGCTAATACCAGGGAGGGTTTGACCTCCAGGCCAAGTGGCTATGAGAATCAGCTGTGTCTGCAGTGAGAGAACTTCTGTCCTCTAGGGAGGTGCTAATCTAGCCTTTGCCTGAGGCTATCCGGCAAATGCCTGTGTGCAGGGCTTGGGCTGGGCGGGTCGCACAGGATCAACAGGGTGGGCCAGAGAGAGCAGTTATGGCGGCTCTCAGTCCTGTCCCCAGGGGCTCTGCCTCTCTGAGTCCCAGCACCCGCTGCAAACCTCGGAGAGAAAGCTGCACTTGCTCTGACTGAAGCCAGACAGTCCCGCTTCTCCCGTTTGAGTCTGGGTCCCTAAAGACTCGCCCGTATCTGGAGCTCAGAGTCTGCGACTCCCTCCCGATTGAAAACGCCAACCGCGCCCTCCGCTGCCAGCCCGCTCCGCGCACTCCGCACCTCAGAATTTGACTTCAGCACTGTGCCTCCTCTGAGTGTCCGTATGCGTTTCTCTTTCCTCCTAGTTGTAGGACTTCCACTCAGCCAGCGTTCCTGTGGTTCTGGGTGATGTCCGTTCCGTCTTTTAGTTTCACTTTTGAAGTAGTTGTTCAAGGCAGCAAACTCCGGCGTTAACCTATGCCGCCATCTTGGTTCTCCCTATGTTTTCTTTTAAGAGCTATATGGTTTCAGGTCTAATCCATTTTGAGTTTATATGTGTTATAAGAAGGTGGTTTAGTTTCATTTATTTGCATGTATCTGTCCAATGGTCTCAACATCATTTATTGAATAGACTGTCTTTATCCCATTCTATGTTCTTGCCTCCTTTGTCATAAATTAATTACCCTAGAGATGTGGGTTTATTTCTGGGCTCTCTATTCTGGTTCATTGAAGATCTTGGCCTATTTTTTAACCATTTTTTTTGTTTTGTTTTCTCATCATTGAATTTTAAGAGTTCTCTGCATATTTTGAATAATAGTTCTTTATCACATATGTCTTTTGCCAATATTCCGTCTGCACTTGAGAAGAATGTATTTTGGTGCTGTTGGATGGAACGTTCGTATATGTCTGTTAGGTCCATTTGGTCTAAAGTATTGTTCAAGTCCAATGTTGGTTTTCTGTCTGGATGATCTAGCCATTGTTGAAAGTGGAGTATCAAAGTTCCCTACTATTATTGTATTGCTTTCTATAACTTCCCTGAGATCTGTTAGTATTTGCTCAATATATTTAGGAGCTTAAATATCTTTGCCTCCAGTCATCAGCCTTCCTGAGTCCACAGCTCAATGGAAGGTGATGAGGTACTGAATGAACATGAGTGACTGAGCTCCCTTGTGCTTTACCTTTTACAGTAAAATGAAAGAAAGAATAATTAAACCTTGATCATCACGAGCGGGGAAGGAAAATGGCCATAAAAGATTAACATCTAGTAGTTTACCATCATAAGCCTAACTCTTCCCTGAAGAGTTTTCTCCTTTTTTTTTTTTTTTTTTTTTTTAATCTTCACCCAAGGGTATTTTTTCATTGATTTTTACAGAGAGTGGAAGAGAGAGGGAAAGACAGAGAGAAATATCAATGTGAGAGAAACATATCGATTGGTTGCCTCTTGCATGAGCCCCACCAGGACCCCGGGCCAGAGAGGAGCCTGCAACCAAGGTATATGCCCTTGACCAAAATCGAGCTCGGGACCCTTTGGTCCACAGGCTGACGCTCTATCCACTGAGCAAAACTGGCTAGGGCGAGAGTTTTCTACTTTTTAAATTCCAGTGATAACAGTGAGATTAAAAAGAATATTAGCTTTATAAGCTTATTTTATAGCAGTAGTAACTGTCTTTGTCTTCCTAGGAGTGCTAAGAGTTTATTAACAACCAACCTGTAGGACAAACATTTTAAAATTACTGATCTTAAGTAGTTAGCTGATAGGCAAATTTTGATTACTTGGCATTTGGCAGTAGAGAAGGAGAAACAGAAATAGGTCTAGTTGGTGAATTCATGTCTGAGGTTCCAGGTGGGCACATGAACTTCAGTAATAACAACTGGCCTTGAATAAGAGAAAAACAAAAATTCCATGCAGAAATGAGGAAATTTCAGCATTATAGGTAGAGTATTTTCAGATCGGGGCTTATGAACTACTTTATGTCCTGAAGGCTTTAAGAATAGGCAGTCTGTTTCTGCAAATACCAAATGAAAAGCCAACTCAGTATTCTTGGATTTATAGATTGAGTTGACCAGATTGAAGGACACTTGCTCTTTTTCACTGTCTGCACTAGCCGGCCCCTGCATGCTGAGTTTCTATGGAAATATGATCTCAGTGACCTCTCTTCTCTGTTGTGGAATGTAGGTGATAAGAATGGAGGTGAGCCTGATGATGCTGAACTGGTAAAGCTCAGTAAGAGGCTGGTGGAGAACGCAGTGCTCAAGGCTGTCCAGCAGTATCTGGAAGAAACACAGAACAAACACAAGCCAGGGGATGGGAGCACTGTGAAAACTGAAGAGGCTGATAGGAATGGCACTGACAATGACAACAGGAAATGAGACTCAAATGCAGGCAGGCACCTCTGCTCCGTGAGAAGCATCCCTGCTCCCCTCTGCTGAGTCAGTGGACTGATTTGCAATGTGCTGTTTGAGTGTCTCTTGTCCAATCTGTGGAGGTTGCCTAATGCTTTCATGATCAGTGTGTTTGCACTTCTGAAACACAACAAAAGAAATATGGAGCGCTGGGACTAGCAGAGGAAATTAATTTATGAACGAAGAATGGCCCAAGTTTCACTTGCCCTGGGCCATGGCCAAGGGAGAGGGGACTTTGGGTTATGCCTCATGGACTCAAAGGCCGTGGAAGGGGCCTTGCCATAACTGGAATACTGCCATTTATATTGTGTAGCAGGGCATTTGACTACCTTATCTGAGGCCAAAATATACACACAGCTAACAAGTGCTAAGTTTCAAATAATCACTGTTGAAATGATTATTCACAATCCATAATGTTTTATTTGTCCTATGTATGCGGTCGCTATGGAGTGAACTTTATTTACAGTCAATTTGTTTCAGGTAAATAATATATTTTTGGCAAAATGCAACCTTTTCTATAAGATGTGGGCCACATTTTAAAGGTTTCTTGTTAACCCTTTTTTGATCAGTTGGTGTGCCACATTTAATGTTTTTCATTGGCATTTGTATGTAAAATGTATTGTAAATTTTTTTTTTCTGTAGGCAAGAGACCTATTGGAATCCGAGACTTAATTAATGAAGCTTTGCAGAGAGAAAGGATGGTTCTGAAGTCCAAAGTGAAACAGATAAAAGAACTTTTATTCCAGCCTGAGACTCAGGCCAAAATTAGAAGGGAGCTTTTTGAAGGAAGATCCATTAACAACAATAATCAAGAAAACGATGTTGATTTCAGTGCAACTTTAACATGAGTTCTACATTACTATCATGGTACCATAGTTTATGAAGCCCTTTCAGCTGACTAAATGGCTCTTTGGTAAATACCAAAGAAGTGTTCTGATAGTGTCTTTACTATGCACACCAACATTTGGTAAGGAATTAACAACTTCTTGCCAAAGAAAACCGATTCTGCCCTGTTTTTATTTTTAAAGCTACACTTGTGTTTGGTATTGTTTGTTTCTATAATATCAAGTTATTTTATTAAAAGGACTTTCTTAATTAGCTGTTGTAAAATGTCTTGGGGTCTTCACAGATAAAATATGCAGACTGTGAAAAATCATTTATAGAAAAAAAAGACAATATTTTAAGGGTCACTTGCTTCCTGTTGACATAAATTTTGTTGTAGTAGCAGATCAAAAGAAGTACTGTCCACATGTGACTATATCTAGTGTTACTTTTAGTGAGAATTTGAATGTTTATTGAATACTGCCACTAGTACTTGAATGAACATTTACAAATGTAATTATTGCAATCACTGGTTAAGAACGTGTTATAATATCCATATGCATTATTTTTCAATGATCAAAATGTAGTATGCCTTTTCATTTCTTAATGAATAAATGTTTGGGATTTTTATTTTCTACTTTTCTGAAGATAAGCCCAGGTCTTACATATCCGTTAGAATTTGAATTTGTTTGCACTGATTTATTTTTAAAGAAAATTCTTGAAAAATTTCCCCTTGTATGATAATCATTGGTAACAGCTTTTTCTATGGTCATTGTAAAATTGCTGCAACTAAGAGAGCATGATGGAGGGGGAAATCATTGGAGATCAAATATGTAATCATTTCAAATATAAAATCCAGTTGACTCCTGGATTTTAGCTATTTTTTCACTGGGTAAATTATACTACATTTATTTATAAATGAGTTTTTGCATTTTCATGCTTCTTAATAAATGTATTGTTTTCCCTTGTTGCCTTTCCTCATTTTCTCTCTCTTGGAACTTGTTGGGTCTGGGTTGGTGTAATGAAGTCACAGACAGGAGCTCTGATAGTCTCAGTGCATCTTCACCTGGATGTTCTTATCCCTCATGCCAAGACTGCACTGTTGTCAGAGCGCCTCCAACTTTTGACTTTTAATCACTTCAAATCAGTCAGCTTCACATAGAATCAACCACACAACATTCAGTGCAAAGAAAATCTGAATAGCATCTCATAAACTGCTAAGAACGTGTCACTGAAGTGACATTAGCAAAGATGAAAGCAGGTCCATCCAGATGCAAGGACCTGGGAGTTGCTTATCATGACCCCTCTTTCAATGAAAGAGGGCTTTACTGTCTGTAAGCAGAGATATTTGGGGAGTTGCCTTGATTTTCAAATGAGGAAACAAACTCAAGGAGATTGAGTGCCTTATCCAAGCCACCTGCTATGGAGGAACTGGACCTGAATACAACCCAGGACTCCATCTCAGAGTTCCAGAGCTATGTTCACCGTCCCATAATCTAAGATCTAAGTTAACAGCATTTCAGAGAGAGCACTTCTCAGTATACATACATATATATATATATATATATATATATATATAGAGAGAGAGAGAGAGAGAGAGAGAGAGAGAGAGAGAGAGATGCTAATTAACCGGGACCCCGTAATGGGTCTACCGGACAGGAGGAGGTTGCGCACAGCATCGGGGACGGGGCGTCTGGGGTTTCCGTGTGCCTACGCTGGGGGAGAGCCTGATCAGCAGCGGCCACGGCTGCTTCAAGGTACAGAGAGGGAGGCAGGGCCAGACCGGCAATGGCCGTGGCTGCTGCAGGGCCCAGGGAGCGAGGCAGGGCCAGACCTGCGACTCGAAGGTGGGCCGTGCCTCGCAATTTCGAATCGTGCGCTGGGCTCCTAGTATATCTATAAGTATATTTATCCTCAAGGAGCTATTCCAACATTTCAAACAATTTGAAAGGCTAAGGAAGTGTTTTTTTCCAATCTAGGTTTACATGTCTTACTGTTACCTTAGTTAAGAATCATAGCTTCCAGGTGTGCCAGGTGAGTTAGGCATATTACTACCTTCCTTCCCTTGAGTGACCATGTTAGCAAGTTACTGTACTGTTTTCCAGATAGGAAACTAAGAAACGTAGACTCTAAATAGTTAAGTGGCTATAAAGCTAAATGGCTATTTATAAAGCTAATAAAAGGTAGGTCTAAATTTAAACTTGGATCTGTTCTACTTCAAAGTCATACTCTTCCCACAATGCACTTCCTTTCTCTACCAGGTACAATACATCTCACAACTTTAGGATGTGTAACAAAGGGAAAGTCATTTTCTTTGGACTAAGCCAGCTCCCTGGTAACTCTGCAGCTCTATGAACATATTTGAGAGCAGTCAGTTGATAAGATAGAATTGAAAAAACAAAAACCCAGATATCTAATTTAGGGATTAAAGATTCTAATCCTTATCAATCAAATCTTCATTTAAGCAGGCTTACACAGATAATGGAAAATACACAATAAAACAAATTTTGTTCATGGTTCCGTTTAAAAAAATGAATAAGACATTAACTTCTCAAAATCTAAGTTTGGGATCTGAAATAGTCAAAATGGCCTTTCCCCATTAATCAGAGTCTTAGAATAATTCCTTGTGGAGTCACATAGTTAGAATATATTGCCCTGAATTGGCACTGTATGCTAAAGCCTTGTTTTCTTACAGGGAGACTTCATGGTTGAGGAAAGAACATTGGTTTGGTCCAGGAGGCAGACTGGCTTCTAGGCCCGGGTCTACCTCTGACAAGTGATATTGAACAAACCAATTTACTTTTTAAAAAATATATATATATTTTATTGATTTCAGAGAGGAAGGGAGAAGGAGAGGGAGAGAAAGATAGAAACATCAATGATGAGAGAGAATCATTGATCAGCTGCCTCCTGCATGCCCTCACTGGGCATGTGCCCTGACCGGGAATCCAACCATGACCTCCTGGTTCATAGGTTGATATTCAACCTCTGATCTTCACCGGCTGGGCCCAATTTACTTTTTTGAGCTTCAGTTCCCAATCTAATATTTGAAACAGTAGGGCCGGGTGATTTCCAAGGATCCTGGACTCTTTGTGACTATGCCAGGGTGCTACTTGTGCTGATGCCACCGTCTCAGCTAGCTAGCCAGGTGTGAGGCCTTCTTGACTGGACCACTCCAAGGGATCTGTTGTCAATGACAGGGTAGGAATTCTAGAAGACTTTACATTGTTTCACTTGTGTTGGTTGTCACCTTCATGTAAGGAAACCCCAGTGGCATGTATTCACATTTATAACCAGATCCCAACATTTTTAGTCACTAGAAAAATAGTAGATCTTAGATGAATATTTTAAGAGATATCAAAAAATATTTTCAACAGAACAAGATTCTGTCAGTCAGCTTTTAACTTAGTCCTACTTTATTGAGTTTTAGGTTATTATTGTATGAATCTATTTCTCAGTCTAAACAACTATAGGCCTTTGAGATATACTGGATTTATATCTAGAGCATTCTTAAGATTCAAACTATTCGCTCCAAACAGCAATGTGCCAGTCATCCCAGCAGCAAGATGTTCCCATAAGGAGGTAATTAAAGCAGTTTGACTTCATATTTTAAATGTCATTTCAGACATATGACCAATAAGATATGTTTGCTTCTCTGCACTCCATCCCAGATGTATAAACCAGCTATGGCATTATGTAACAAATGAATTTATTTCATTTTATAATTAAAGACAACAACTTATAGTATCTACAAACATAAATTGATGAATGGGTAATCTAACAGCATGCATGGTTTTCATCCCTTTCAGATCTCATCTCTAATAAATTTATCTTGAACAAATTATAGATGCATTCCTGAATTCCAATTTTTTTTGCAGGTAGAGAGAATTCATATATATAAAAAAATAAATCCAGTGTACTTAAAAATAGTTTCTAAGTCCCTATGTGAATTTGATAGCAGTGCACATTGCTAACAAGAGAAACTCTTGGATTATTTCATTCATAGTAAAAATTAATATTAGAGCAGTTCATTCTAAGTCAGTGATTTAAAATTCTGACACTATCTACAGCACTTCTTTCCTGGATCACTGTCTCAGGGATAATAAGGAACTCTGAGAGCTGAAAGAAGGTGCTAATATCATCTCTAGTGTAATATGCTCAAAACTACCTGTATCATTAAATTTAACTAATAAGTTCAGGAAATTTAGGATCATTTTAAGATGTAAACTGTGACATTTATTCCCCTGCATATCCCATCATTAAGCACTTGTTGGAAGGCCATGGAACTTGGTTATAGCATCAAAGATAGGAATAATAACACTGAGAAATTGATTCATTGTCTTCAGTACACTAATGCTCCTCTCCCTTTAGTGGTTCAAATTATGTTTGAAAAGCCACTATCCTATGACACTGTCCCCGTATACATCTGTTATATTGTTTGACCCATCTGCTTGTAGTCCTGTCAGCTTAAGCAGCTATATTGTACATGGAGCTCTTGTTCTTAAGTGACGGCAGAACAAATTGATACTACACTTCAGATTACACTTCCTTCCCCAAACCACGTGGCACAATATCATCATGATTATGTCTTTGAACCAAAGTGCACTGTAGTTTCTTTGCATATTTAAAAAAAATTATGGGTAAGATATATGTTATCTATAAGATAATTTTTAAGTCTTTTTTTTTTTGGTAAATGCTCATGTAAGATATTAAAAGTTGTAGGAGGTGAGAGAATGAAGAAATGAGTCTCATAGCTAGACAGGCATTACAATGCTGAGGAAAGAAACAGAAGTTATATGTATGCACCAGTCCAAAAAATATCTGATATGGTAATTGAGGTAAAGAAAATAGCATGGATATGCAAAGTGGGGAGAGACTACATATTTTTAAGATTCTGGAAGACAAATTTGGAAGCTATTTTTATCAGGTCCACACTTGGAAAGTATCTTTATGGAGGGGGATGTGATGAGGGCTTTTAAAGATTTCCTGGACATTTGTCACACTAGTGACTGCCCAGCTTCTTTTGAACATGCTTCCTACATTGTAAACCTCCTTCCCCAGGGTAGAGGTCCCGAGGTAGAGATAGGAACTCACCTTTTCAAGCTTCTGTGTCACAAGTTCAGTTATGTGACCTGAGCTCCACCAAGCAAGAGGGAGACCCTGCAGGGAATAAATCCATCTGGCAAAGGTGCTCTCTGGGGATCCCATACCCTCTGTAGGTCATGCACACTGGCAGAGGGTAGTGCCAACAAGGTTCCCCTGGAACAGCTGGCAGTGTAATGGGCATTCTTCTTGCTGCCTGGCCTCCCAGGCTGATTCTCTGGACCTTCTGGGGATTCTGTGAGCTATTGACTATTTTTTACTCTAAAGTTCCCTTTTCACTTAAACTAGCTAAAGTTGGTTCTGTTTGCAACTAAAAACCCTGACTAATACAGGCTACACTTCTCTAAAGCACTATTTCCACAAAGGGCACAATTGGCATTTTGAATAGAACACTTCTCTGTAGTGTGGGACGGTTCTGCTCGTTGTGGGATGTAACCATCTCTGATTGCCAAGCACTAAATTCCAGCAGCAGATTCCAGTTATTGTGACAACTAAATATGCCCCCCCCCCCAAATTTTCCAAATCTCCTCCAGATGGAGGCAACATAACCCCAGGGTGGGGAGCACACTATTAAATAGTGCTCTCATAGCACATAAAAGAGTTAAAAAGGCTCCTTCTTGTGCCCATTGTATCAAGAGATAATTGAGGTCTTAAAGAGGACATGCTACCCAGCCAGAGTGGCTCAGCGGTTGAATGTCAACCTATGAACCAGGAGGTCACGGTTCTATTCCCAGTCAGGGCACATGCTCAGGTTGCGGGCTCAATCCCCAGTAGGGGGGGTGTGCATGCGGCAGTCGATCAATGACTCTCTCTCATCATTGATGTTTCTATCTCTCTCTCCCTCTTCCTTCCTCTCTG